TAGTGTTCTTTTCGGTGTGATCTGTTTGTTGGCTCTACGTTAAAAAAATATCGATTTAGACGTTTTTATTTTTTATTTTTTATTTTTTAAATTTAATTTTTTTTGTATTATATTCTTAATTTATTAAAAGTATTACAATAAAAAAAATTACTGTTAACTTCTATTGTTCATTCCGATAAAAATCACCTTATTAACGTTAATAAAATGAATAATAGAAGTTAACAACAAGGACACATTATAATCCTTTTAATATATTAAGAGTGTAATAAAAAAATAATTTTTAAGAGTATAAAATAAAAATTATTAAATCTTTTAAAGTATAAAGTGTAATTCTCTCTTAATAATATTATCATATTTGTATCACTATCAAATTAAAACGTGATGTTGAAAATGTGTTAAAAATGTGTTTTTTTTTTCATTTATATAAATTTGTGTTTTTTTTCATCTTCTGGGCATTTTTCCCTTTTGTTATGCCCTAATTCATTCTAGACCAGCCTACACAACCACCACCCATCTCTTCTGCCTGGCCCTCTCTCTCTCTCTCTCTCTCTCTCTCTCTCTCTCTCTCAGTGTAGCTATCGAACTCAAAGCCTCTCTCTCCCAGTGTTACTATCGAATCAAAGACAACCACTGTCGAACTCGAAGCCTCTTTCTCTCTCTATCTCAGTGTAGCAGTCGAACTCAAAGCCAGCCACTGTCGAACTCGAAGCAAGACACTATCGAACTCGAAGCAAACCATTGTCGAAGTTGAAGCCTCTCTCTCACAGTGTAACTGTCGAACTCGAAACCTCGAATCGAAGGAATCATCCCTCTATCACCATCATATAATCGTCTCTTGGAATCCTCCACCACCATCAACTGATTGATTGGAGATTTTATTCTCTTGTTTTGCTTCTCATAGATCAATCTTTTGCTCCCTCAGGCCCTCCCAATAGGTACATCTCTCGCTCTGCTTTTTAATATTGACTACATTGTAGACTAACTTAGTGAATTAGTTGATGATACTTGATAATGCATATGAAATTTAGGGCATTGATTAGTTATCAATTCCAAAAATTACTCAATTTGGAATTTTGAGGATGATGAAATTGGGGTTTTAATCTGTTTGATTGAGAGTTGGGTGGAAGTGAAATCTTACTGCCTAATTGTGTATGGTTTTTATTGAGTTATGACTTAATTGTTACTGATTTATCTATTTGATTGGGAATCCATTTGGTGATTTTGGGGTTTTTGTTTGATCTAAAATATATTAAGCATGCTATTTTTATAATTTTTGTGATTTTTAGCATATTTATTATTATTATTATTAATTTTTATTTATTTTTTATTATCTTACTGGTTCGACCAATGACCCAATGGTTGAACGAGTGACCCACTAATCCGGGCCCTTTTTCGGGGTTGATGTTTGGGCTGGTTTTTAAAACTATGATTTTAAGTATACATTAATTTTATATATAGACTAGTTATAATCCTTGCCTGAAGGCACGATAAAACAAAAAATTCAAGTCCTAAAAAATCGATGTCACAATATTAAATAAAATAATTTTTCTTTCCTCCATTTATTTGATTAAATTATTCAAAATTTATTTTTACCCATTATTTTTTTAAAGATATTGAAATTTTTTTTTCAAAATATGTAAGTCGATAAATTTTTTTAACAGATCTATATCATTATGTACGGATAATATCTGAAATAAAAATTATGTTAAATTATAAGTGAATCAAATATTAAATGATTGAACATGTGATATAAATGAGTGATGTGATAATTTTGGATAAGGTAAATGTAATGAGATAAAATTCAACTTTCTATGTGTTTTATTATATAGATTTGTATAGATATAAGGTAAAATTTCACCCAAATCTCCTTTAGTTAGGTTTAAATTTAATGACACCTCATTCCGATTTTAAAATTTCACTGTCACTTCCTATTAGTGATTGTCGGGTTACTCCGTTAATGACAATGGTTGATTTATAGAAATATCCCCTAGTATTTTATGGGATAAATTTTATCCACATCCTTTATAAATAAAACTAACTTTAACAACACTCTTTGTAAATAAACCAAACTTTAACAACACCATCTCTTGATTTTGAAATTTCAATGCACTCATTTTCAGTTCTATTATATTAACCTTTATTTTAATTAATTTAATATTCAATTTTATCAAATTAATTTTCTTTATTTAATTTAAGCTAAATTAACATTTTATCTAAAAGAATCAAACCAAAATTGATATTTAATTTTATCAAATTAGCATTTAGTTATATTAATTTAAAATTTCATTTCATCAAATTAATATTATTTCTTTAATTTAATATTAAGTTATTATTTATTTTTATCAAATCAACATCAAATTGACATTTAATTTATTAAATTAAACTATTTAATTTATTAAATAGAATATTAAATTTCATTAATTTAAAATTTAACCTTATCAAATTAATGTCATTTCTTTAATTTAACACCAAATGAAAATTTAATTTTATTAAAACAACATTCAAATTTATTCAATTAACATTAACTCAAATTAATATTTAATTTTATCAAATTATAACTAAATTAATATTTAAATTTATCAAAATTAAGATCAAATTTATTCAATTAATATTAAATTTTATCAAATAATTTTAAATTTTATATATGAATTATGATGTGTGAGGAGCGATCGGACGATTTTGTGGAGGACATATGATAGTAGAGGAATTAGAAATGGATGAGATTTTGACATTGACTTTATCGATTGTAATTTTTATTATAGAAAAATTATTTTTAACTATAAAAATTATTATGATTAAAAAATATAAAAATTATAAAAACTTAATTATGTAACCAAATGAGTGATAATATGATGATTAATATTATAACAAAGTTATAATACAACGTTTTAAAATAAAAAATTTATTGGGATAATATAATTATTGAAATTACGTTTGTTGACTGGCTAGCGAATATATAATGGAGAAATAATTAATGATATTTTAGTCTATTTACATAATAAAGGGTAGTTTTAGTATTTTTACAAAATATTTAGTTAAATCATTATTTCATCTACTGATATAGACAAAAATTATTGTTACGGGGGTTATCATTGAATTTAGACTCAACTACATGATGTTTAGATGAAACTTTTCCTAGATATAACATGTAAATATAGTATGTCATCTATTTTTGTACTAGATATATATACAGTAAAGATGTGTGTGTGATATGAACAATAAAAATGAAGAGCAGCTGCATTAAGATAGAATTTTAGGGAGACATGTGTCTCAGTTTGGAAAGAGAATCATAAAAGATGAAAGTGTGAGAAACAGTCAATGTCTCAGTATAGAAAGTGATCCCTTAATATAGGAAATAAAATCAAGAAAATAATGATAAAAGTTATAATCTATATTTTAGGGAGTGAGAGACAGAGTTGAGAAATGAGAGATCGCTTAATTGCTGGATTTGATTGGGTTGAGAAATTAAATTTAGGGATGTTAATTTTGGAAACTAAAAGTTTTGAACAGAAAAAAATTTCAAGAGCTAATATGGTACATTGGATTGAAACGATCTAAGACGTCAATAGTTTGAGACAGTTTGAAATATCTTCAGCTGTTGGATGATGCATTTTTTGATCTCGAAATGATCTGAGTCACTCTTTGTCTCTTGAATTCAAAACCGTTCAACTTTATTGTACAAATATAATTGTCAAATATGTATCTATATTTTTTCCATCTTTCCATTTTTTCATCCTACTAAACACAAAAATCAATCATTTCTACCAAACACAACAGAAGGAAGGAAGAATTCCTTCCTTGAAAAATAGAAAGTGTATTATTCTCACTTTTTATCCTTCCATTTTTCCATCGACACCATTTTTCCATTTTCCATCCTTCCATTAGAGTTAGTCTTTTTAATTTGCTTGTGTATTGTTTCAGTAGGTGATGTCTATTTTTTTTTTTTTTGTACATTTTTTTATTATCAATGCACATTATTTTAAATATTCTTTCTCCTACAATTATTCAATTTCAAAATTTAGAACTTTTTACTTGCAATATCAAAGTGATTAGGAGTAATGTCTTCTCTTTTCCAACTACCTACCTCCAAGTTTAAATTAGTGAGTAAAAAGCCATTGAATTTTCCCCCGAGTAGGTATTTCAATTTTTTTCATTTCAATAAATCTTCACTCCTCCAAAAATTAAGTCCTTTATATAAATTTGAGCATCTTAACCTCACAATGTTCCAAGGATGTTTCAGACTTTCAGTGTCTATATCTAAATTAAAAACATTACTCCAAAACTTAAGATATATTTTGATGTGCTGTGGCATCCTAAGTTTCGACTTCTATGCCCACCATGTCCCTTTTGTGTATCCACTCTTTTAAGAAAACAAAGTAAAACATTTCACCTTAAAATCATTCAACTATTAGCTCATTTCCTATAATTAAAACCTTGTTTTATGTGTAATCTTTTGTAGGCTGTTTCACGGTTTTTGCACATTTATTTTGGTTTTGTGGCATAAGTAGGATATATTTCGTCAAGTTCTTAGATAATTTATTTTCATTCAAAGGGAAATAGATCGATGTCTCAACTGTCAACTCACATCGACAAAAAGCTTGCTTCTTTATCATCTCCATCCTTTGACCCTTTTCTCTTCAAGGTAAATGACCAACTACGCAAAGAAAATAAGAAGGCTTACGAACCAGAAATGCTTGCAATTGGTCCTCATCACCGTCATAATGTTAACCTACAATTGATGGAAAAACACAAACTATGGTACTTGCAAGGGCTGCTTAAACGAAGAAATGAGTCGAGCAATAGATATGTTGTAGTCATGCAAGAATTGGAAGAGATTGCACGCAATTGTTATGCAGAATCCATTGAACTAGAGAATGATGAGTTTGTAGAAATGATGCTACTTGACGGGTGCTTTATCATTGAGATGCTTCACAAGAACAAATATGAACAAGTTGGAGATACACACGATGGTATTTTTGCAATTTCTCAGATTTGGCATGCTTTAATGCGTGATTTACTTTTATTTGAAAATCAACTTCCTTTTGATATCCTCGTCAAGTTATTTGACATGACAAAAGATTCAAACCAACAAAGCGCATCAGACAGTATAGTTGACTTGGCCCTCTCCACTTTAGCTAAATGGGTTCCATCTTTTGGGAATTTACCTCCTTCCAAGATTCCACCAAAAAATGTGGATCATCTTCTAGGCCTCTTACATGACACCTGGTGTTCCTCATTTGCTGAAATTGTGTCCTTTCGTGAGAATATTTGTGCAAGCTACAAAAGTAAATGGAGTACCATAAAATGTGCCACAGAGCTTCGAGAAGCTGGGATTAAATTCAAGAAGGCTACAGCAAATGGCCCTTTGTTTGATATAAAGTTCGAAAAAGGAATCATGACAATTCCTCCACTGGAAATTGATGATAGTACAGAGTGGTTCTTCAGAAACATGATTGCATACGAGCAATATAACCAAGGAACCGAGCCAACATATGTGACTGACTATGTGATTTTTATAGATTATCTCATCGATTCCCCAAAGGATGTCAAAATACTTTGCGATTGTGGAGTTATTGATAACTTCTTGGGTGATGATACAATGATCTCTAACATGTTCAACAAAATGACCAATCATGTCAACACAAGTCCAACAAGGTTCTGCTACCGGAACGTTTTCATTGATGTTAACGAGCACTGTGGACATCATTGGAATACATGGATGGCTGATTTAAGGCACAATTATTTCAACACCCCTTGGTCTATCATTTCAGTCGTCTGTGCTTTTATATTGATGGTATTCGCTATGATACAAGCTATATGGTCTATCTTATAAGTCTAGTTTTAAGTCCGATTTGATTTACGTTACATGCCCGCGACCCCTGCAGTCAATAAATATTATGTCAGAATACTGATCCTCCAGTCAACCTGTTGTTTCGCAAATGTTGTGTAGAATTTGTGATCAATTTGAATGTCTTTTAAGCCACTGGTTGTCTTTTAAGCAAACTTGAAGGTTGGTTTTTATGGAGTTGTAACCTCAAAACAATATATTTAGAATTGAGTTGATTATGCTATTTAATAGTCAAATGGAAGTTCTGATAATTTTGTATGACTTAGAATTGGTTAGTTGGGCATCCTGTGCTATGAGCAAAAAGCACATATTTTTAACAGTAATAGTTTTAAGATGTAATTTATTAACCTAATAATCCAGCACAATCATTTGATTAGTAATGAGTTCCAATCAATAGTAGAATTCCTAATCAATTCAACGACACTAATTAATTAGGTCAACAAAGTAACTTAGTAATTTAGGTCAAAATAGCATTGCTCGGCCCACTAGCATTTGTCAGCTATGGGCCGCACAAATTATGATCTAATATGATGTATTTCAACCCTCTTACGTTTCATTCTGTTGTCGTATAGTAAAATAAATAATTGTATTAGTTAATACATGCTACTTCTGTATAAGCGGATAAAGCACAAGATTAAAGATGGGATAAAGTTAATACTCATTGTAATCTAGTGTTTTATAAGACATTGAATAAGAGTGGGATAATAAAGTCTTAATTATATATTGACCAAAAAATCATCAATCTTATTTAGTTATTAATATTTTTGTTTGTTTGGTGGATAAAATAATAAATTTATAATTTAATACGCTTGAACTAGATTATATTTCTAAAATTTATCCAAATAATATACTTTATTTATACTATTGAATAGACTATAATACCACGCACCTCCATAGGTGGTATTATAATCTATTCAATAGTATGGATATAGTTTATTATTTGGATAAATTTTTGAAATAAAACTATATATAATACGGAATATATTTTGCAACCAAATGCAGTATAAGGTTGAATCAGAGAATTTAAATTTGTTTGGACTCCTTAATACACCCCTTAACATTGCAACCAAATGACCCTTAATTTTGACCAATTTCAATCTTGCCCTTTTAAATTCGTCGGATCCTAAAACAGTCCCTATAGTTGTCCCATGATGGGACCTAATGAATCAACATGGATTGTTGAACCAATTGAAATTGGAAAACATGTAGAGTCAAGTGAACTTCTTTTTTTTTTTGTCAATGAACATGGGTCTTGATTCTCTAAATTTTGGTCAAGTTCAATAATTTGTCCTTTTACAATGCTTTTAAAAGCCATTTATATCCTAAAATAGACAATATTATACGTTAACAATCCGTAATATTGCGAAAACAAAATTAAAGAACTCTATACTTCTTTTGGAGCGGAAATATAGTTAATTAAGTGCTTATTTTTTTTCGAAAAATAAATAAAGTTAAAGTGTGTATTTATTTCCATACAACATGGGATGTTTGAGCTCTACTACTGCAATTTCCATGATTGATGTAATTTGATATTCTTAGATCTAAGGATTGAGAAATTTTAAAGTGCTAATTGCATTTGCCAATTAAAAGTTCAAAAAAAAATTCTTTGCTCCCTCAAAGAGAAATAGACTCAGATCGACTCATTAATTTTGTGCCAGTGTAAGTCTGTATTGGAAAACATTTTTTTTTCGCCCTGAAAGATGTAATAATTGTACTTTACCCCTTGAAAAATTTAAACACTGCACTTTACCTCATAAATAATGGATTATCTTAGGTTACATGTATGACATATTGGAGGTTTATAGACGAAAAATGAGATGTCGTTTGCTAATTGGATCAATTGCTACTGTTAAAAAAATAAGAATATAATGTGTGGTATTTAACCTTTGATATCATATAGGTGATGACTCTAAGCCCACCACGTCCCATTTGTATATTTACTCTATGCTCAAAAAACAAAAGTGACTCGAATGTTTCAATTTGTTTCTTTGGAAAAACATCCAATATTATAAGCTCACCATATAGAAATTAGTTTTTTCACTTTGTTATTGTTTATGGCAGGAGAACTGAAATCGATTTTGACAAATTGCTAGATAGTTTTGTGCTTCAAAATGAAGCAGATGTCTCAGCAATCCACTTATATTGACAGAAAGCTTGCTTCCTTTCCATATGCGCCCTTTGACCCTTATATCTTCAAATTAAATGACCAACAACGCTGGAAAAATAAGAAAGTCTATGAACTACAAAAAAAAAAATAATTTACCGGCATTTATATAAATGCCAGGAATAGTAACTCCGGTCACTGGAGAAACACTGACGTTTGATTTTTCGCTGGAATAACTGTCAGATTACATTTACCGGCGTTTATAGACTTTGTTAACTTTTATATGGACTTCGCCAACGATTATAAACGTCGGCTATTCCAAAATTTGTTGCAATGTTGTGATAAATATGTCAGTTGTTCACCTCAGAATTATTAAATGGAACCACCATTCAGTTCGAAATTGACTACCATTATGTCCGAGATTAAGTTGCTGCTAAATTGTTTGGGGTTAATTATGCATTTTGTTTCCACACTGCATTTCCTTTTGGGATATTTGTCTCATGCAATAAATGTGTTATATCTTCACCAACCAGGGGTGCCAATTCAGTGTAAGTTATAAAACTCTCGGCCCGAGTTTAATCTGAACCCGAACCCTACTCAAACCATTGAACTCAAGTACTGGTAATGATAGTTTTTTGAATTCGGATTACTTCAATTGCGTTGAAACTCGTGTTACACAATTTGGATTGTAATTTGAATTAAATTCAGGCTCAAATCAAGGCGAAACTTAAATTTGATTCTTAGGTTACACAACTCAGGACAAAATTTAGATTCAATTGAGGTTCAACTTTGATTCACTAATTTAAGTTGGGCTCGGGAATCCAAGCCTCAAACCTAAGTGGTGTCTGGAATTAAATTGGTTTAAGGTTTTTTTTTCCCAAACCTAACTTATGTATTGAAAATTTTGAGTTGGAATTAGATTGAATTCTGGGTACCCGTATCACCAACCACAAACCAAAACTAGTTCCCTTGGATCATGTAATTATCACATCATTATAACAGTAAATTAGGTCAATTTTTTAAGTCTTAATATCATTATTTATTTTTTATTTTAATTGCAAATAAATAAACCAATCAAAATATTTATCATAGTCAAAATATAAGTACGATTAAAATATTTTACAGTAATTAAAATATAAATATAATTAAAATAATTACATTAATTAAAATGTCTATTGTTGTAAATACAAATTATACAATTAACCGTTAAATCATAATTATAAATAATATGAGTTGTTGTTGGATCACAATTCTAAGTGATTTAAGCCATTATTATTGTGCTTTTATCACTTGAAGAAGAATATTGTACCAAAAAAAATTACGGTAATTTATCTTCTAATTTCATAAGTTATGATCCAAGTTTATGAATCTATTTACAACAACAAAAAAATATACAACTTTTTGGATCGTGTGAAAACTTTTAAAGTTAGAGTAATTATTTTTTGGGCCAAGGTATTATTTTTGTGATAACTTATTATCGATCCTTAAGATTTTTAGGTTGGATTGCAAGTTATCACAAAAGTGATAAATGACCTTCAAAAGATTTAAACAAAAAAAACATGAAATTTATACTGGCGGTACGGTAATGATCATTTAAACATGAAGTTTTTTGAGTACCATAATCTTCCCCTTATCTGTTGGCCTGTTTTTATTATACAAATATCTTATTTCATCCTTTGAATTAAATTCCCGCCACCTCTTGGTTGTAGTCACTGCCTTCATTGTCATTGATGTGGAAGGATTGGATACGTTAAAATCCTATCACGAGACATTTTTTATCCAGTTTTAAATCAGTTCATAGTCTTATACGGTTGAAAATCTTAATCTATTAATGGATAATAGATTAAGGATCGCATGAGTTGTGAAATAATTAGAGATTAGTTTGACAATATAAAATCTCAACTCTAATTATCGATATCTTAGTGGAAGTATTGTTGCAAAAAGTTTAGTAAACAAAGGTATCAAAATTGCATGATTTTATGTGACTATAGTATTTTTTGGAATGTTGATTGTCCCCGAATGATTTTATATGACTATACTAAAATTGCATGATTTGAGTATTGTATCCGAAGTTATAAGATAAGGGTGTTAATTCTATAATATAAAATAAGATGGCTTCAACAAGTCCATCTTACGGTCTCAAATTCATTCATCCAATAGTCAATCGATTACTTTTTTTTTCCCTTTATATTCCCCCTCCTCATTGGTTAACAATTACGGTTGATCTTAGAACACAACCTACGATTCCAAATTCATTCATCCAACGGTCAAGAAATCATCATTTTTTCCTTAATGTTTTTCTCCTAATCGGTCAACGATTACGACTGATCTTAGAACCCATGATTTTCTTTGACATAATAATTAAATGGGTCAAATTTGTCATTAATATCATCTATATAATGTAACATTTTAATTTTTTATAAAACACAATGATAACATTTTGATTAAAAAAAACTCATCAATTTAACAGATAAAAAAACACAAGGGTGTAGCTTGAATATAATTAATTTTAATTTTATTTATTTAATTAATTATCTCAAACTAACTACACATATCATGAATCTAAAGTTTAAAACTAATTTTTTTTCTCTCTTAAGAAAACTCAACGCTAATATATTCTTATAAATTAATAATTTTGTAACAACTTGTACTAATTAAAAAACTAATATTTTATAAATGATATTTTTAAAAAAAATTTTGATAGAAAATATTTTGACGATATGATTTTTAATAAATTAGAGTTTTAGTTTATATTAGATTTTGACTCGATTTTGTTTACACGTATATAATTAATGTTTTTTTAAGTCAATTCTATAATATTTCGTGGATTTATCTATAATATAAAACATGAAATGTTTTAATAAGTTTATCTGACGGTTTCAAATAAACTTATCCAACAACCACCAACATCTGTTTCAACACTATTTAAATT